GAGGTATATATCCTAGAGAGGTGAGATCCAGGATAGGAACAGATATATGCACATTCACGTTCATTGCAGCACTAGTTACAAAAGCAAAATGATGTGAACAACCCACATGCCCATCAGTGGAAGAGTGGATGACTGAACTATAGTACATACACACAATGGAATGCTATGCAGCACTAAAGAATAATGTAGAGTCTGCAAAATACTGCATAATATGGATGAACTTGGAGGACATTACACTGAGTGAAATAAGTCAATCACAGAAGGACAAACATAGTATTAGATTGTTGTTGTGGAGGGTCAACAGAAGGTTTATATATGGAGGGAAACTTTCTTTGTTGGTTAGCAGGGGTGTGAGGGGAGGGGAGGAGAGGGAAGGGAACACTGCATGCATGCATGCATGAATAAATAGATAGATAGATAAGGAAGGAAGGAAGGTTTGGAAAGCTAGACCGCACTGTAATAACACTGATTACTTACAGGGAAAGTGATGGGATTGAGGCAGAAAAGGAATGGGAAGAAGAGCTTTTGTTTCTCATATTTGGTTTTTGTTTTGCACTGCTTGCCTTTCAGAGAGAGATATCCTCAGGTGTTCTTTGTGTAATTATAGAAACACAAGGGACTAAAAGCTAAAAAATAATTACTGCTAAAATTAATGTGGATCATTGAAGTCCAAGAAGATAGGTATACCAGGATAGATCAGTTAAAAAACTGGTAACTAGAAATAACTGTTTGGAGAACATTGTCAATAATATTCACCTAGTATTTTCAAGCCACTGTGCTAAGTAAGTCACTGGAGGTTAAAAAAAAAAGAAAAGAAAAATGGTTCAGATGAATTAGGAAAAAACCAAAATAAAAATGGAGACTAGACAAGTTCTGAGGTGCCTCACAGGCCAGCCTGTACTGTCTCCTCTGCGTGATCCTGGGCCTAGCTCTCTGGGACTCATCTTTGAGTGAGTAGAGGGATAGCAGAACCCTGCCCCCCCAAGTGTCCTTCACTCTTCTGGGTTAAGGGTAAGGTCTAGAAAGTCAACATATGCATTAAATCACTTGAATGAAGAATCTTGGCTAGAATTAGTCCATCAATTAGGGCAGTGTAGTAAATTACTTTGTGTGGCTTTTCTACCCATAAGTCTTTGTAAACTCCAAGGTGGGATTTGCTATGAGCAACTGAGGAGCTCCTGATTGCTGAAGGTGTCCACCTGGAGTATTTCTGTTGGGAGTGGCACAACACAATGTTCTGGGAGGTGCCCACTCTCTCTCACGTTTAGAGTTCTGATGCTGTGACTGGCTAGTTTGACCACCCTGCCGAGCTCTAAAGGAGGCCTCCTAAAGGCAGAACTCTCTCTGACTGCTGGTGGAGGAAGACGTGCTGCTGAAAGAGACACAGGCCCCTGAGATATGTGCTGCTGGGAAAGAGACACAAGAGACATGCATTGCTGAGTGAGACACCGAGGGACCAGCACTGCTGGGAAAGAGACTGTGAGAGACTCTTGGCTGAGGGACGGTGGGCTGGGAGAGAGACTGAGCATTCTTCCTGAACTTGAATTGTAGCCTGGTGCTTCCTTAATAAACCCCGTAATCTGTGAGTTCTGTGTGGCCACTGCAGCGAATTATCGAACCCAGGAGAGAGGTGGTGGGTGCTTTGGGAGAAATGGTTGGTGAAAGGGCTGGAGGGAAGCAGCATGTCTGGCCTTGCAGTAATAGGCCTTGGTTTACTGCTGGTAATCCTGCCTTCCCCTTGTAGGGTTAGAGGAGGTCAGAACATGTGGCCTCCCTGCCGTTTTTGCAATTAGTAAGCCCAGTACCAAAACTGGCCTAGCACTGTGCTGCTTAATGAAGCCTTAATTAATTCTTGCTAAGGTCAAGTTGTCAAAGATTTCATATTACTTGGTTCCACAATCAACACCAATGGAAGTGGCAGTCAAGAAATCAGATGATTTATTGCACTGGGCAAATCTGCCGCAAAAGTCCTCTTTCAAGTGAGTAAGAGCAAAGATATCTCTTTGAAGACTAAGGTGCACCTAACCCAAGCCATGGTATTTTCAGTCACCTCATATGCATGTGAAAGCTGGAAATGAGTAAGGAAGACCGAAGAAGAGTGGATCCTTTTGAGTTGTGGTGCTGGCGAAGAATGCTGAAAGTACCATGGACCTCCAAAAAGAGCTAAGAAATCTGTCCTGAAAGAAGTTCAGCCGGAATGCTCATTGGAAGTGAGAATGGCTAGACTTTGTCTCACTTACTTTGGTTATGTTGTCAGAAGGGACCATTTCCTGGAGAAGGATATCATGCTTGGTAAAGTGGAGAGTCAATGAAAAAGGGAAGGCCTTCAATAAGATGGACTGACATAGTGGCTGCAACAATGGGCTCAGTATAACAAGGAGTGTGAGGCTGGCACAGGAGTTGGCAGTGTTTCGTTCTGTTGTACATGGGGTTGCTATGAGTCAGAGATGACTAGACGGCACCTAACAACAACACGTTCAAATAAATTGAATTGATTTCCCCACAATGGAGCCATACCAGGCAGCTGAGGGACTCAAAATGGAAGAAGAGAAATCCCAAATGGCTTTTTATTTTCTCACCTTGGGAGACAGAAACAGCTTTCAATAGGATGGCCTGGTTTTTAAGGGTAAGGAATGGCTTGTGAGGAGGAAGGTTACTAAGGATACCTTTCCTGAATGGGGCAGGGGTCACAGAGATGAGTTTCACCAGCCAGGTCTCCAGAAATGCAAATGATCTGTCTGGAGACCAGAGGCACGTCAGTGGACCTGAATTCATACTATATCCTCAGGCAGAGGCTTGATAACATCTATCTTCAGGAATCAAAGGAGGGAAGGAGGGAGGAACTTCCTGTTGCTGTCTAATTGAGGAGCTAGGAATCCAAGATGGGGCCAAGAACCACAGGAACACAGATCACTCTAAGTCTCTGTAAGGTTCTCAGTATTGGTATTTGTCTTCTCTCTGGTCTGTTTCTTGAAATGACCAGTAATGAAACCCTTATAAAAACGTTCAAGGGCTTGGCTTTGAGTGCAGATACACAGGGGGAGCGGGGTGAGGATTCTCAACACAGTGGAGCCAGAGAGAAGGAAGAGTGTGGGGTGGCCTCTAAAGAGGCCAGGAGAGGTAGATCGCAAGCTGAGTCCTGGGCTGAGGGAGAGAAGGTCCCTGGGGAGTACTACTAGTCCCACTTCACTAGCAGGATGAATAAACAGACTTTGTGTCACCTGGAAAAAAAATGCTCTTCTGTGCTGCTCCTGGAGGGTCTGCCTTAGCTGCTCCACATCACTCTCCAACTTCAGGTATTCATTCCAGGCGTTTTCCATCTCCTGTTGGCCAAAGAAATGTTTCCGCTTCTTAGTTATTCCCTGCCCCCAGTAGGCCTCATGAGTACCTGTGCTCCTGACCACTGAAGACCCAGCTGGGGGAAGAGAGAAGGGGAACTCAGTGGGCCTCAGCAGGCCTGGTAGAGGAGTGATATGAGGAGGATGGCATCTTCTCATTTGTGCTCTGACCCTGGTCACCTACAATGTCCCATCTTCTACCTTTGAGGATGCTTTGATTTCCAGCCCTGGCAATAGGATCTGTATATCAGATGGACCATTGAAAAAAGAGAAATTCTGACATCTTAGAATTAACACACAAATCAGAGAAACAGCCTTGCAGGCTGCTCTGAAAAATCTGGTCCCTTGGGTGGTACTGCAGCAGACTAAGGAACAGGTGGTGAAAGACGTATCACCCCTGAACAAAGTAAGCTACTGTCCAGAGGTGACCTGCAGAAGTTTTGCTACTCTGAGACTCTTGTTCCCAGCTACCAACTCAACTACAGCTTGGGAGATGAGAAAAGTAGGCTTGGCCCAGCCCATCCTGAGGGTAAATGTCTGCCACCCTCCACACCCTCTACGCACAGTGGACTCTCTGGAGATCTCTGCACGGATGTGCACAAGGTCCTCCTGCAGCAATCTCTGCTGGTAGGTAATCTTCTCCAAGTGTTGGGGTTGGTCTCTGTACTGCTCCATCTGTCTGTGCAAGACCTCCAGCACAGACTCTAGTTGGTCCTACGCCAGGCAATGAGCAAACAGGGTAAGAGCATGATCCCCAGAGGCCTTCCCATACCATGCCAGGAGCCAAACAAACCTGCTGAATCTAACTGAGGTTGAAGAGGCCAGAGCCAAGTGTGGGAGCTGAGAGTCACAGCCTCTGATCAGAAATCACCTAACAGCTCTTTACCTCAGTTTTCTCATCTGTAATTTCATGTAACTCCTTATGAGCCAAACTATGAAGATGAATCAAATAGAAGTAAAAACCTCTCCAAACTCCCGGGGAAAGAGTCTGCCATAAACTTTCAGTATTATAAATATAATGTCTTTTTAAAATGGGGGAAAAAAATCTACTTTAAGGAACCTGTCCCCAAGAGGCCAGACAGTGGCAGTCCCAGGCCCATTCCTGCTCCCCCACCCATGACACAGCCCAGATCCTAGGAGGAAAGAAGTTTTAGGAAGCTGTGGGCCTTTGCCCTGTATGACTGTAGCCAATTTATCCATGGCAGGACCCTTTTCCTGGAGGTTCAGGGGTCTGCGGTCACCACGTAAGTCAGTGGAATCTTCTCTCCCAGGCTCATCTCACAGCGTGAGGTGGGCCAGAGCAGAGTTGGGGGAGTGGTATTTAGAACAAGTGGCTCCTTATAAAATTTCCTCCAGGTCAGATACAAACCCCTCAAGAAACACCTTTTAAACCCAAAGACACTGCTCTAGATAAGCTGACACCTGTTGCTTAGTACTAACATAAGAGTCTAGTCTATGACCGAGGGGAAATAGGATGACAAAACCTCCCACCATCCAGCCCAAGACTAGACAAAACTGATGCATACTTTGTTCTCCTTGAGGGCTCGTATCTTGTCTTCCAAGTCCTGGAGGATCCTGTCTTGTTCGCAAAAGATGCTTAGCTTGACCTGTGAGCAAGAATGGATTGGAGTGAGCCTGGGATGATAAGAAAAGGGCATGACCTTGGGAGTGTGATCGGAAAGCACATGGTTATAGACCATTCAAACCCTGCCTGATGCTCCCCACCCCGGGGCTGGGGACAGGAGGCAGCTGAGAGACCAGCCTGTCTTTCTGCTCACTCACGTCAATGTCACTCTCTGCAATCTTCACTGGCTTCAGACTTCGATCCTTGAGAAGGTCCCGGCCTGTCATCTGGGATGCGAACAATTTAAAGGAGATTTAACCACAGTGATTGGGATCAGAACTCAGGGAGGAAAGTTAAACCCAAAATGGATGGGTCTGTGGAAATCTCAGCAGGTAGAGTCATGACATGGAGGGGCAAACACTCAGACAATACCTGCTTCACTTTTTATGCCAATTCATCTTAGGGAGCAATCAAAACTTTCCTGTGATCCTAGCTGCACTTATAAATTTCTCAAAGTGAAGAAAATACAGACTTTCAAGTTGTAAAATCATTAGTGTAGAAGCTATATGTTTGCCCAAAATGAGCGTATGAATCTTAGAAGATTTGCCATTGATAAGCAGAGTTTTGCTACTGAATCTGGGGAAAACAATACCAGAAGTCCATCACCAGAACCCAGGGCAGTGGTGTGGGTGGGCCAGGAGAAACAAGCAAATGCCTGAGCGTTGAAAAGACTTGGCTTAATGAAGTCCCTGAGCAGCCCACTTCCTCATGAATGAGGCCAGCTGACTGGGGGACCCGCCTCACCCTACTCTATTTCAGAAAGAGGATCTAGCCAAGGGAAGAAGTTGTTGTTAGATGCAGAACCTAGATAATTTCTGGCTGGTATTTTTAATTGATCCCTGAATAACTGAAGCTATGCCACATTTGTATAAATTACAAATCACTCT